TCAACATTTGGCAACTGTAACTATTATAAGTTCAGAGAAAGGATCAACACACTGAAAACTCCAAAGATTATTAAGAAAATAGCATATTGGCTCACCATCCAGATCTTGCGAATGTGCACATACAGACATCAACATGTTAAAGGTGCTCAAGGTTGGGTTTGGGATCAGCTTCACAAAACGAAAGGCTTCTTTCACAGCCTTTTTGCTTTTGCAGACTTTGAAAAACTTCACATGATAAACCTGACACCATACAACGGAAAGCAAGAGAAGTTACTGAAAATCAAAATTTAAAACCAGGGAATCTCATTTAACTGCTAGAGCCATGCATCCTTACCTTATTCATGTCCAACAGACCCCTTCTCTCCATATCTTCAAGCAAATTCATGCAATCACCCAACCTATGATAATCCAGGGTAAGATAAAAAGTTTCTAAAAGCCTAATCATGTTGAAAAACTTGATTTCATTTTTCCTTCTTTTTCAAGTAAAACTTTTTATTTAACAAAAATTCACCTATTATAACACTAATCAAGTAGACAGTAAACAGCATTCCTGTGAATGCGGATGATAATTGTTACCTCCCATCTCTTAGTAAACGATTGTAAGCACTCATCTGTTCTGCATGATGATCTTTGTCATTATCAACCACGTTATTTGGATAAGAGATATGGGGAATACTCTCAAGGGCATGTTGAACCGAATGTCTACTTTCTTTCTCCTTCGAAAATATTCTGTCTCTTCTTAATTCTTTCTTCTTCTGTGAGGAACCTCTCCTATAATAAGCATGAGGCGTCTCTTCTCTAACATCATCTGAATGGAAAAATATCCTTTTCACAAAGTCAGTAAGATGTGAGGTCCAACATCCAAGTCTGCCTGCTGGCTCATGGGGCAAAATGAGTAGAAGATACTAACAGTGACCAATAATAACACATGTTTTCAAATGCATTACCTGTAATTTTGTGAGACTCCTTTTGCACTGATTGTTCCAACTTCATTTCAGTGTTCCTCTTAAGTGAAGAAAAGTTATTGCTTTTAGGAAGAGAAGGATAACATAGTGCTTCAAGATCATTAACCTTTGGAGATCTTGATGCTGATTGATTTTCTCCATAAAAGGTGTAAAGCTCTTCTCTGGGAGACTTGCTAAATACGCTACAGTGATTAGTATGTTCACCAGCATCAAATTTGTTTGAGTATCGACTCTTTTTTTCATCCACAAAAGCATGAATATCATCTACAAGAACTGAAGAAGCATTGGATTGAATGTCTATTGCTAATCTATGAGTCTCAGGATCAAATCCAGTTTCCTTCTTGCCATTTTCCATATGCAATCTCAGCATGTTTGGAGCAAACATATGTGGTTGAACACCTGCCTCAGGTAGCATAGGTGATTGAAGAGCTAGACTAATAGCTTGAGATTCTTTGTACTCACTATCTCCAAAGGCAAGAGATTCAACACCAAGTGATTCTGGTGATTTGGTCGACAAAGAATTATCATCCACCAAAGCAGCTTCCTGAAATTGTAGGCAAGTCTCTTCATCATCAGAAGACTTTCTACTTTCTTCCGTTTTCTTCACCAAATCTACACTGATTTTGATAGATGTTTCTTTCTGATGACCTCCAAAATATAAGAATCGACTTCTCATAATGAGGTCCACAAAATATCTGCCTAGACGAGATGATGCAAGTTTAGGAGAATAGGGAACCTGTGAAATGGGCAAAGCATTACATTCAGGCAGAGTGAACCATAAAGAAACCAGGCAAATATCACTCCAGGTCCCTTAATGTCCAGTTTTGTCCATTAAATAGGACATAAGTTGCCAACCAAAAAGACATCCTACAGCCAAATTGTCCATAATATCTTAATCTCTTTAGTGAAATGAGTCTCAGCCCTTCATCTTCATTCTCCCTCCATAGCCTAGTTCATTTTGTTGCCCACTACCATCAAATTCTTTAAAGAAAAAACAAAAAAAAAAAATTGAAGGAAATAAAAAAAACCTCAATTTGGCAAAAATTTGATAGTTCAATTCTTGTAAATGCTGTGAAGTTACCAAGCAAATCACATAGAAGATTGTCTATTGCTCTTCTATTTCACTTATTCACCATATCTGCAATTTCCATTTTTAAGAAGATTTCTCACCTTTTTGAGAGGACTCCATATTTATAACTTGACAGATTCATGAAGCAGTCAAACCAAAATTGTCAAGACAGAAGGTCATATACAGGAGAAGAGAACACAATAGAACCTTCCAGACAGATATACCTCCTTCAACTCAGAAGTAAAAGGTCAGTAAATAAATAATGACATTATATGCAGACCTTCCATATTATATGTATGCCAATATAGGTGGTCAAATCAGATTCAACCCTACAAAATCTACTAATAAGTTTTTTTTAATAGTAATTGTTTGGCAGGATAAACATGTCTAGAACTGCAAATCACATAGAAGATTGTCTACTGCTCTTCTATTTCACTTATTCATCAGGTGGATGTTGAACCCTCTCCCAACTTGACCACGAACCAAGCAGGCAAGCCCAGCTGCTAACAAGTTGGTTTGATTTCTAATTCATAAAGAAAAGTGCTTCTGCTAATAAGGTAACTCACGTTAAAAGAACAATCCTACAGTTCATTACTTACACGTTGCCAGCTCCCATCAAATTTCTTCCAATAGTTAATAAAGGCACAACCTTTTGATAAACCCATTCCACGGAATTAAAGAAGCAATTCATGTCAAGTTTGCAGTTATAGCAATTAGCCTTTAGAACAAAGAACAAGTCTTGGAAATTTTTCTTTTTTATAAAATGAAAACGAAAGAATAAGTAAATCAAAGCACGTTTTCAAAATGATACAAATAAAAAGGACTTTTACTACACTAGCTCCTGTCCTTCGGAAACTTTTACACAACAAGTTACTCCGCCAATTATTAATTTGGTAACAGTTCGAACTACTCCTACTATCCATCAGTCACTTAACCATAACTGAACTTCTTCCCCAAAAAAAAAATACACCTCAATGGGTGGCTGGTGTGTCACCTCGATATATGATACGTGTTAGAATCGGTTAATTTCCTCGCAGGTGAATAGGGTGTTAAGATATAATATAAATAAACTCGACTCATGAAAAACTGAACAAGTAATTAACAACTTAACTACATAAAACTAAAATCTATTAAAGAATCGCGAATCCTGAAGAATGAGGCACTGAATTCCACTAACCTCACGAGACTCCTTCCCCTGTTTGTAAGAGTGGTTGAAGTAAGCAAGTGAGATGACAGAGACTGTCGTCACTGCCACAACAACAAGAACCAAATCGGAGCCCAACGAAGCCGTGACGAGAAACCGCGGCGACTGGACCTGAAAAAGGCCTAATTTCTTGCATTTCCTTCGAGATCGGATGGAGCCACCGGGAGGCCGGAGATCGTGACCACAGCCGAGGAATTGTCGGCGGATTGATCGAAGATTGGAATGAGGGAGCAGTGGAGCACACGAGGTTAAAATTAGAGTGTGTGGAGATTTTACAGAGAGCAAGGCAGCATCCATTGAAAGGAGAGAGGATAGGGATGAGGAAGGAGAGGAGAGAGTGAGGGAAAGGGCGTTTCCGTTTCTCTCCTCCTTGGTTTGCGAACAAAAATGGATATTGTTGCTTACGTGGCCTAACGGTTATGCATTTTCTTTTCATGTCTGTATTTTTTTTTTTTTGCCATAAATTTATATTTTTATATTTATAATATCAATAAGAGCATATATAATTTTAAATAATTTTCATTTTTAAATAAATCATTCATTTTAAAGTATCTGTACCAAAAAATAAAGAATAATAATTATAATTAAGTCTCTTAATTTTAAAATAGTTAGTAAATTCAATTAAAAATTAGATTTTTATGAAACTTTCATATAAAAAATTACTTTAATTTTTTCAGTCTATGCATAAAAGTAATTAATTAAGTTAGTTATTTTGGTTAACTTATACATTGAAAAAGATAATGACAAATCTAGAAAACATTAAAATAAGTCTAAAACTCAATAAAATATTTTAAAAAAAAATAGGTATGATATAATTTTGCTCTCATAGCATTTTATTTTATTGTAATTTTATTTTAAAATATTAAACTTCAAACTTAATTTCCAAATTTATTTTTTGTTCCAAGGAAAGAATAAGTACGAGCTGAACAAACCAGATATGCCTTAAAAAAAGTAATTTGCTAACAAGCTTCTTACTCACTAGGAATAATGAGAGACTCTCTGGATACCCAAAAAATTTTATATCAAAACCTAAGTTTTCAAGAAATTGCTCGAGCTTTAGCAAAGGGTGCAAAATTAGAATAACTTTGGTATGTCCATTTGTATTCTTCTAGAAGTAGGTAAGAAATTCCATGTCATTTTGTGTGTCTTATGCCTCAAGCTTAATACTGAAATAATACTTTTTCCTCTAGACGTCACCACCTTCTGTAAGAATTTCCACCCATGTTCTTCATTAGAGGTTGCAGTTCATATAGGAAATGAGTTGGATTCTACAGGTAAAAATCTTGTTGTCCCAACATGTGATCAGCATTCTTATAAATCTTTGCAGAAAGAGTCTCTTCTTCTCAAGACCATCCATCCTTTGTTCTGATTGTGTTTGGAACCAAAAAACTCAATTAGCTTTCTCCTTCTGTCGTCTCTTTTACACCACATATTCACAGTTTCTTAGCCAGGCTGGCCATTTGGTTTGCCATTTCATCTATCTTAGACCCCCAAGCTCGTGAACTGTCCATCTTTCTTTCAAGATATGAACAGGCCTTTTGATGACATCTACAACCTTTGGTATTCCTCTTGGATGCAGCTCGGATGTTTAACGCGTCCATCATATCATCAATGTTGTAGACCAGAACTCTGATTTGATCTACCAAAAGGTGCACAAAATCATTGTGCTAGTGTCGGTACTTTTAAAGAAGATTTCATGGAGTCCATCTCTGTCAGCAAAGTTCTCAACCTTTTGCTTCAGTCCACACAAGAATCTTGCTTATTATTCATCTGTTAGTAAATTACTAAGCCTTAATACAACTGAGAGCAGCAGACATTCATGACCCATCTTGTGCTTCCTAGCTATTCTTGATTTGTAATCTGTCCAAAAAACATTGAAGGTTTCCTTTTATAATCTGCCCGCCGTGGCCCTTGATTCGATTGGCACATCATATTATGACAAAGAAACTAAGAAATCAATTTCTTATTCAAAAGGCACCATTAGGTTCTAATATGAAATAGATTACTGGAAAGAATGTTGACAAGCAAGAAAGAATATATACACTTTTAATCAAATGTTTCAGCATTTTAAAGGAGAAAACAAAAAAAAAAAAAAAGAAAGGCTAAAGAACTTTGAGAAAAGGAAAGAACAGGAGAAAAGAAAAGGCAAGCTCTGATAGAATCTGAATAGCAGAGAACCCTCAGTAAGTCCAAAGAACTTGTTCACTCCTCTGTAAAAGAAGATTAAAACTACTCCCAGATTTCCTTAGAAATCAAGATTTTGTGGTTCCTTGTTTCTGCCCAATGGATTGTGCTTGGATTGTAGATTGCCATATCTGGGTTACGACTATTCTCAGTGTCTGCTAAAAAATTCTATTTATAAAACAAAAGCACATTATACAGATGGCTAATAGAGACGGAAAGGCCGCGGAAGAACTGGAGACGGAAGATCACAACCAACATTATCATCGCGATAAGCATTGCTAGTTGTAAGCGTCAAGGTTAATTTTCTTTCCTGAGAAAAAAACAAAAGAAAAAGAAAAAGAAAACTGACCTTGATGACTCCCCTCGCTATAACTGTTATTTTCTTCACTGCAAATCTAAGCCGTGACCGCTGAGAGGCGAACAAAGCAAGAAGGCATTCCCAATAACCTATCTTGATGATTATGTTGGTTACGACATTGATCGTCATAAACAGCACCTTCTTCAAGATGCGAATCTTGAAGACTACATATAATATGATGATCTGCTGCGTTCTCGTTTCCATTTCTTCCGCATCATTTCCGGCGAGATTTATCGGTAAATTCACCGGCTAGGGGGTCCGGCGGTGATAACAAGACGCGATTTTGGTTGTCATGCTGAGAAGACGATTGCGAGAGGGAGATGAATACTCGATCAATTCAAAATCAAATCTAGTCCATCTGATGCCTGGTATACTTGATTATTTATATGGTGAAAGAATGGAACGGTGCGTTTAAGGATAGTTTCCCATAAAATTGGCACGTGTATGTCCAAAACGGTGCGTTTTGAACACACGTGTTAATTAAATGCAAAGATAACAAAATCAGTTAAAAAGAAAATGCGAAGAAGGGTTCGCATCAGAAATTGAATAAAGAATTTAAAAAAAAAAAAAAAAAACGGAGCGAAACTAAATTGATAACTTGTCAACTAACAAACAATCCTTTCGTTGTAAAGAGGATCGGCGACTTGCTGTTGTGAGAAGCCAAGTTCTTGATCAGGTGGAGCAATTGCAGACGGAGAAAAAAGAGAATGAGGTGTTTCTTGAAAGACGAAGATGCGAGGCAAGATGAAAGCGAGAGCATCCGCAACTGGATTGCTGAAGTTAGAGAAGCCGCTTACAATGCAGAGGATGAAATCGAGACGTTCGCTGGTAAATTATCTTCAATCGATTTGTAACTTTTACTGGTAATTTAATCTGGTTTATTTGAGTAGCTGAACCTGTAATTTTTATGAAAGAGGGATATTTTTAGACGGTTAGTTTCTGAGATAAACAGTAATATGTATCCGTTTCAATTTTAAAGAATTATTTTAAAAAATTTATTTTCGTACAATATTTTTTTTATTAATATGTTATAATTAGTTGGAATTAAGTATAATTTAGTTGTTGTAATTTTATTAATATATTAATAAATTAAAATTTTAATTTTATTAAATAAAATATTATTAATTTATTAATATTATTTTTTAATATATTTATAAAATTATAAATTCTATATATTTAATTAAATTTAAATTCATAAATTTTAAATAAAATATAATAAATTTTAACAATCGTGTTCACAATATATTTTTTATCAATTTGACAGTATTTTTTAAAAATTTTAACTAAATTTCTCTTGGAATGTAAATAATGATATTAATATTGCTTTTAGGATTTTTGTAATAACTGAAAAAAAAAAAAAGGGAGGGAAACGATACTATTTTAAAGAGGAAAAAACGACGTCGTTTTGCAAATGGGAAAAAAACGACGTCGTTTTGAGGAAACTGGTGGGATATAAATAAGGGGCCGGGAAGGAAGGAAAAATGGAAAGAAAAAGAAAAAGAAAAAAAAAAGAGAAAGAACAGAGGAAGAAGGGAGCGGGAAAGAGAAAGAGGAGAGGAAGGAAGGTATCAGAACGAGAGAGAAAGGGAAGCGAAGCGAAGAGAAAAGGAGACCGCGGACAGTGATAGCGCGATCGGTAGGAAGAAGGAGATGGAAATGGGAGGTACGGTAAAATATTTCAAATACGTGTGTAGATTTAAGATTTGAAATG